GAATTTTTGTTTTTTTTTTAATGGAGGAAGGAGGAGGGGTGGTGAGGTTGAAGGGTTGTGTGAAGAATTACGATTGGGGAAGACCGGGGAAGGAATCTCGTGTGGCGCGCCTATATTCGCGCAATACTGGTGACCATACTATTGAGCAGGACAAGCCTTATGCGGAATTTTGGATGGGTACTCACGATTCTGGGCCTTCTTATCTTGTGAAAGGAGCAGCTGAGAATGGATTGGCGTTGACATTGAAGAATTGGATTGAAAGCAACCCAAGTGTTGTTGGAGATAAGATTGTGAACAAGTGGGGTTCCAACCTTCCTTTTCTCTTCAAGGTTTGCTCCCTTCAATCGTTTGTCTAAGAATTCCTATTTTTTGTTGCAACTCTACCCATCTGAGTTACTGCTTTCGAAATTTAATATTTGCTAGATTTATTAACACGGTGTGAGCCAAAGCTACTGGATTGTTGGCCAGTTTCCTTTGGAGTCGTATCAAGTTTTGATTTTTCATTATATGCTCTCCCGTATAATTATATTCCTCTATAATAGCTACTGATTCAGGGCCAAATTATCTAACATTTGGTTTCAATTCGAACATAGATTTCATTTTTAAGCAAAAAATTAAGAGAGATTTTGATACGGAGGAACTACATTAAAAGTAGTTCAGTTCATGATTTTTTTTTTATATTTATAAATATTTAAAAATCATATGAAGAAAGTTCACTCTTTCATGTAGTAGTGGAGTCAATATAAAATTAGAAGTAGAAATACAAGAGTTGAGAGTACTCCAAATATCATATAAGGAGACAATTCTATTTATTTAAGTTAACTTGATACATTTTGGATGAGCTAAATCCCTTTGTAGTAGTTGTCTATCAGTATGGCATTGATAAGTGTCTAACGTGTGTCGACTTTTAGGTACTTTCTGTTGCAAAAGCTTTGTCCATACAGGCCCATCCAGACAAGGATTTGGCCACTCGTCTGCATAGTGAGCTCCCGGATGTTTATAAGGATGACAATCACAAACCGGAGATGGCATTGGCATTGACAGAATTTGAGGCCTTATGTGGATTTATAAGTCTTGAGGTACTCAACATCTTTGTTGTTTTGTAGGTCTAGTTAAAAATTTTGGAATTTTGTTAGACTATACTCTAGAGTAATGCACATTTGGGGTGCCCTTAAATTTACAATCCCCTTAAAATGAGCTCTGCCACAGTTAAGCAACTTGTTTTATTTAGATTTATAATCATTGAGTTGCGTTTTAGAGGAAGAGTTGCTTCAGTGTGGTAGATAAAAATCCCACCTGGCTGCTGCCATGTACATAGACCTGTCTGTTTTAAAAGAAAAAGGAGTTTATGGAATTGTTTAAATTAAAATTTTGTTTTGGTCTATAATATTTGCAGTGTTTTCAACTTTGGAACTGGCATAGTTACATTTGCTTTATCCTGGTCCTTAATCTTATTGTAGCATAAGCGCTAATATTGCACATAGAAGAATGGTGTAACTTATACTTAGTTAGGTAGTTGGCTCACTTGAGAAGCAGTATCTGTTGTGCTCTTTAGCTTGCGATAATAAATGGACTTAAACTTCCATGAGTATTTGAAATACAAAAAGACAAGTTCGATGTGATTTAACCAATACTTATGAATTTTTGTAGGAGCTTAAGTTGATTGTTCAAACTGTGCCCGAGATTATCGAAGTGGTTGGTAACGCATGTGCAGAGCAAGTATTAGACTTGAATGAGGATGGTGAAAAGGAGAAAGTTAAACTAGTGCTACAATCAGTGTTTACTGAGATAATGTCAGCAAGTAAGGATATGATTGCTGAAGTGATAGCCAGGCTGATTAGTCGCCTACACATTAAAAATCAGGTAAACTCATAATAGTCCATGGTAAGCTATAAGTTAGTATGTGTTTGTAAATCTCAGCACTAGTTGTAATTCTTCTTTTTGTACTTTTGCATGGTGGAGACTTATTCATGTGGATGGTAATTATGACTTTTTCATCTTTCACATTGTAGGCAAGGCAGCTGACTGAGAAAGAACAAGTGGTCCTAAGACTCGAGAAGCAGTATCCAGCTGATGTTGGTGTCTTGGCTGCATTCTTGTTAAATTATGTAAAACTCAAACCTGGTGAAGCTTTGTATTTAGGGGCAAATGAACCTCATGCTTATATATATGGTGATTGTGTTGAAATCATGGCAACATCAGACAACGTGGTACGTGCTGGCTTAACTCCAAAACACCGGGATGTTAAAACTCTATGCTCAATGCTCACTTACAGACAGGTACGTACTGTCACAGACACCATTAAGGTCATTCTTTAAAATTGAACTTCCTGATTGGAATTTGAGTATAGCAGCAACCTTTTTATGTACTTCAAAACATTCGGAGTTGACAAAGGTTAGGAAAGAGTTGCATTATTCTGACATCGAGTTACTGAATAAAATTGGTTAGGACATTTAGCATTATGATGCATATATTAAGCATCTTTCAAGAGTCTAATTTCCATCAAGAATGTTTCAAGTGTTCAAGTCACTTGTCTTGTCAATTGATGCGTAATATGCATCAATTATATTTAGAACATCTCCGTGTATACCCTATTTGTAGTTTCTATTGGGCTATTCCACATTTTTGGCTGCGTGGGAAGGCTAAATATTTGGCAAGACTCTTAAGTGCAATTAAAATGGTATTGGGTGTCTGCTTATTTATCTACACATATAAATTTGTTCTTTGCTGCAGGGTTTTCCTGAAATTCTGAACGGTACTGCAGTAAATCCATACACTATGAGGTTCATTCCTCCTTTTGATGAATTTGAGGTCGATCGCTGTATTCTTCCAGAAAAATCAACGGCTGAATTCCCTGCTATTCTTGGTCCCTCTATTTTTCTGGTCATGGAGGGAGAGGGAACAATGAACACATCATCAGACGAGATTGTTTGTGAAGGTGATGTCTTATTTGCACCAGCAAACACCAGCATTACAGTTGCAACATCTTCTGGTTTGCACTTATATAGAGCAGGAGTATGCAGCAGCTTTTTGGATAAGTGAGAGTTGTGCCACATCTGCTAAAGTTGGCCGATCCAACCTTGTAATATAAATGTATGCATGTATATAGGCATAATATCAGTAGAAGGATGGAAAGTTGTTATAGTTAGCTCATTATACGGGTTCAGTGATACACAATCCAGGATCAATCCTCCAGAGAAAAAGAATAAAACAAAAGAAAGCAACGATCGTCAAGTATCTGCATCAGTTGTTGAATGGAATAAGTGTGTGTGGAAAAAGTGAAGGAAAAAAATAACAGGTAAATCAGTGAGTTTTTAACCTCTAAACTCAGGTTTCTTTTAAATTTTCGGATCTCAACAATTGCCTATTGGAAAGGTTTAAAACATATACATATATATGGACAGATATATATGGACAGTTGAGCTTCTAACGGTTGTCTTTGTTGCAAAATTTTAGAATATGTCCGCTTGAAGCGCAAGCTAGATACTTTTAATTTATCTAATGCTAAGCTTTCAAACTTTGCTTATTTTGAAAAGTATTTTTTGTGTGATGTGTTTTTTCAAAAAGTACTTTTGGAGAGTAGTCGGTTGTGTTTGACTAATCGATCTGGAAAATACTTCTCCAATATTAGAGTTGCAATGTGTGCTTGGCAAGCTTCAAAGAGTTTCTAGGGAGAAGTTATTATTTTCAACTTCTTAAATACAACTTTACTACTGCTCAAGCGCACTTGATGTTTTCATAAAAGCTTTTGCCAAACACCTCAACTCTCTAATAAGCATTTTCTGTATAAAAAAAAAGAATTTTTGGCATCTTGGTCAAAAAAGGCTTGGCGTAGTTTAGAACATAGTTTAGAATGCTGGTCGAGAAGTTATATACTATACTATTCGGAAACAAGTTGAGAACTATGTGTGTCCCAAAATAATACTATATTTAGTATAATATCATAGCAAAAAAAAATAGAGTTTTATAATAGCTAATCTGGATGAATAAGTCAAACATAATAGTTAAAATGAGACGTTTACTATCCAACCTATGACATACGTAATGTTTTTGACTTTCTTCCTGTTCCTCTGACAGAATACATTTCCAAGACTGCAAATGGTCCATTTTGCTCCTATCTATCTAATGTGATTTTAGGTTTTAAGCTAACTGCGGATGTAGATGATGGGTTGCATCATGGACCCCTTCAATTAAATCAGTTTTCAACCCTTGTTACAATTAGATATAGATTTGGATAATTATCTTGCTAGCCTTGAGTGCCTTTTTTTTCTGGACAGCAATATGATAACACTCCACCTCTCTCTTTTTCAATATATAGATGATGAATTTCTTACTACCTCTTTGTGTGAGTATGGCACAACTTTAGCACATATGCTGGCACAAAATAGCTTAATATATAGCCATTAATCTTGATCTTCCCTTTTCTTTAACCTTTGTTTCCTTTGATGTTATATAATATTGATACGGCCATCCCACTAAAACATAATAGTGGGTTGGGCATATAAACACGATTACCACTAAGCATAAAGAAACAACTCTATTTTAAAGTTAACCAGAAATTCTTATAGGGTGCAAGGATTAAGAAAAATCTGATTTCATGGTGCTTCGGAAAAAACTTTCCACATACTGTTAGAGTCACGAGCGTATGAATTGTAATCTCTTTATATAGTTTTAGACAATCCTTATCTCATGAGTTAGTCTTTATGATCCAGTTAGGAATATAGCGATAGAGTAACGCTCGTGTTGGGAAGTTCTGGAATTCCACGTTGATTAGTGTCATTAGATGACTTTGAATAATGCTCACCTCACGAGCTGGCTTTTCTGCTTTTGTGGTTGAGTAGATCCAATTGAAATTAAATTCTTCCATCTAAGAAAAGTAAAAGGAGTTGAATTCTTCCGATCACCAGTCCACCACCAACCTAGTATTTTGTAGTTTGATCAGCAGAGTTTCTACCTTCAGCCCTTCTCTTAGTAAGAAAAAGAATCCGAAATCACTAATCATGAACATTCTGATTGAGTTTCTTGCACTTTTGGTCTTGTTTTGTCCACCTTGTTTAGCTAAACAAACCAACTTCACTGATTACGCTGCTTTACTAGCATTTAAGTCTAGCCTTTTATTGGAACCTCACAACATTTTGTCCAAAAACTGGACCTCAGAAACACACTTGTGCAGCTGGTATGGAGTTTCTTGCTTGAACCAGAGAGTTAGAGGTTTGCAACTTCCTAATTTGGCCATTCAAGGAAGTATTGTTTCAGACATTGGCAACTTGACTCAACTTGCTGTTCTTGATCTTAGTAGCAATGACTTGAACGGCAATTTGCCAAGTGAATTGGGCTTCTTGCAACAACTGAGACTTCTGAATCTGACCGGGAATTCTCTTCAAGGAACCATTCCTCCAAACTTAAGCCGTTGTCACTTACTTCAACAACTTCATTTATCAGATAACATGATCAAAGGAAGTATACCCCAAGAACTTGGCCTTTTAAACCAACTCGGGTTTTTGCGTCTCAACAACAATAACCTCACAGGCAAGATTCCATCTTTATTAGGAAACTTATCAAAGCTAGAATACTTTTATCTACATGAAAATGATGATTTGGAGGGTGAAATACCATCTGAACTAGGTGATCTTTCCAATTTGAAGCTCCTTTCCTTTCCTTTCGTGGCAATAGATTCACTGGTTCAATACCTGCTTCAATTTTCAACATTTCAGGATTGCAAATTGTAGATTTGTCCATAAATACCTTCTCAGGGGAACTTCCAAGTGATTTGGGTAATTATCTTCCTATCTTTGAGCGTCTTTTTCTGGACAGCAATAGGATAACTGAGAAAATCCCTGCTTCTCTATCTAATGAATCAAAGCTTATCTCTTGTTCACTGAAAATGATATGCAAGGAAATATTCCAAGTGAGTTTGGTAAGTTGCATGAATTGGTCTGGTTTGAATTTGAATATAATCGAATTTCTGGTGCCATTCCGTCCAGCTTATTCAATATCTCGTCGCTTGAAATCTTCAAAGCCAGGCATAATTACTTAAATGGACATGTTCCTCATGATCTTGGTACTTGGCTGCCTAATTTGCAGGAGATTTTTCTTTCACACAACCAATTTAGTGGGGATTTACATCTGCAATATGCAATGCCTCAAAGCTTGTGTATCTTGAAGTTGCAAACAATAGTTTTAGTGGACAAATTCCCATGATGTTAGGTAACCTGGTGCACCTTAAGAATCTTAATCTGCAAAACAATTTATTGGGAAACAAGCCTGGAGCCACATATCTTGACTTCCTGAATTCATTGGTAAATTGCAGGAATCTCGAGTACCTAATTCTTGAATCTAATCCTTTGAATGGAATGTTTCCGGAATCAATAGGAAATTTATCAAGCAAAATGAAGGTCCTTCCTGCAGCGAATTGTGGGATTAGAGGCAGTATTCCAATAAGCCTTGGAAACTTAAGTAGCTTGATTTACCTGGGATTAGCAAATAATAACCTTGTCGGTAATGTGCACCCCTCCTTTGTTGGCCTGCAAAACCTGGAAAGGCTGTACCTCACTGGAAATAAATTACAAGGGCCTTTTCCAACTGAACTGTGCAGCATACAAAGATTAGGTGTTTTGCACTTCGGAGAAAACAGAATGTCAGGATCAATACCTTCATGTATTGGTAATCTGACTGAATTAAGAGAAATGTCAATTGCTGCCAACAATTTCAACTACAACTTACCTTCAAGTTTCTGGAGATTAATAAAACTTGACGGTCTGAACTTGTCCAAAAACCTGCTGCATGGTTTTTTACCTTCTGATGTTGGAAACCTGAAAGCAGTGAACATCATGGACCTCTATTTTAATAAGTTTTTTGGTGAAATACCCAATTCCATAGGGTCACTTCAAAATCTAGTTTCACTAGATATGTAAAGAAATGAATTTCAAGGTCCCATGCCAAATACATTTAACAATCTAATAGTTCTTGAGTATTTGGATTTGTCTAGTAATGTTCTAATTGGTATGATTCCCAAGTCTCTCGAGCTATTGCGAGATCTCAAGTATCTCAATGTTTCTTTCAACAACTTGCAAGGAGAAGTTCCAAAGAAAGGGGTATTTGCAAATCTTAGTTACCGATTCTTGATGGGAAATCCAAGACTATGTGGAGCACCTGACTTACATATTCCTTTGTGTCCAGCTCAAGGCAGCAGGACAACAAGAAAAAAGTCTCTTATCCTTGGAACAACAGTACCTGCTGTTTCAACATTTCTTATATTGGTCGCATTGTTTTTCACATGGATGATTTGGTCAAGGAAAAAGCATGTGAAGAGCAAAAATGGATCAGATTCCTCATTCAGAATTGGTCATCAGAAGATCAGTTATTATGAGCTTCTCCAAGCTACTGAAAACTTCAGTCAGTCCAACCTACTAGGAAGTGGAAGTTCCGGTACAGTATACAAGGATAAGTTGTCTGGTGATAATGTCTTCGCAATCAAAGTTTTTGATATGCAATGGCAAGGAGCTTTAAAATTTTTTGATTCAGAATGTGAAATTTTGAGCAATGTAAGGCACAGGAACTTGGTCAAGATTGTATCAACTTGCTCAAATATGGATTTCGTGGCGATGGTACTGGAGTATATGCCTAATGGAAGCTTAGACAAAAGGTTATACTCCGATAGAAATTGTTTGAGCCTGGTTGAAAGACTCAATATAATGATCGACGTAGCACTGGCCATGGAGTATCTTCATCATGATTATACTGTGCCCATTGTGCACTGCGATCTAAAGCCGGCTAACTTGCTTCTTGATCAGGATCTGATTGCTCATGTGGCAGATTTTGGAATTGCAAAAATGTTGGCACAAGAAGGAAACATTGCTCAAAGCCAAGACTCTGGGAACTATTGGTTATATTGCTCCAGGTATGATAATGTCTGTGAGCACGTGATTTTTGTTTTCGCGACAATCACTCCAAAAGAAACAAAATAATAGTAGTTTGGTCCTCCTGCACAATTTTTCGGATTTTACGTGACATTTTCGGTATTTATTTGTGATCTTCCCCTTTTGTATTTTTTATCAAAACAAAATATATGTGTCGTGTGTAAAAATATAAAGTGATGTTATTTTTTAATTGTGTGATTAATTGTTTGTTTAATGTGTTTATTAGTATTGTTTAATTTAATTAAGGGATTAAAGAGGAAAATGGATTTCGGATTGGGCCAGTCCAATAAGACAAGCCCAAACTAAATTATCCGGTCCAGTCCAGTTCGGCCCCAGGAGTATCCCAAATGACGTCGTTTGGGTCGTGCTTGATCTGGGCCGTTGATCTCAGAATGATCAACGGCCAAGATCACATACCCCGTACCCACGAACAGATCCGACCCGTTCTACCCGAACCAACCGTGACCCTTAGTAAGCTAAACGACATCGTTTCAGTTAGACCTTCAGATCCAGGCCGTTGATCGCGTTTGATCTAACGGCCGAGATCAAGCCATCCATCCCATATATAAGCTTCCCTCTCATACCCCACCCCCTATCCGAACATCCCTGCCTTTAGGTCATCCCCTCCAACAGACCTAAACCCTTCAGAACCTTAGCCGCCCCCTTTCCCCTCACCATTAATCCCGGCGGCATGGACGCCGGTGACCCCCACCTTAACACCATAGATGCACCTCACCATCCTGAACCCAAATCCATCAACCACTTAGCTCGAATCCCCTTCCACCTTCTCGAATCTTCATTTGAAGATTCGAGTCGGACCTCGACTGACACCGATCTACCCCAGCTTCACACCAGGCAGTCCCCGGACCTCCCTCGTGACCAAACCATGCTTGGTTTGGTCCGAATCTAACCAGGGAAACATAAATCCCAAATCTGCTTTTAGGAGCCCTAGGGTTCCTCATGACTGATTTGTGTCTGTTTGAGCCAAGTGATTAGGGTCTAGTGGACCTTAATCGAAGTGTTTCTCATTTGAGAACACTTCGATTAAAGTCCGTTCAACCCTAAGAAAGATCAATTCAAATCCGAGCTAGGGTTTGCTGGTTTTTCAAGATTTCAAGTATTTTTGTTTTCTTTTCTATCAGTTCATGAGTTTTGTTGTAATTAAATGTTTGCTTATTGCCCCAAAATGTTAGTTGATTTTTATTTCTGAATTAATTAGTCGACTGTGTCCTGTCCACCTTGCCCGGGCCTTTGCATTTGGTCAAGTCCTTCTTCATTCACTGATAATGTGTATATGTGTATGAGCTGTGCAATCAATTGAACTTTGAAATTGACTGATTAATTGATTCCCCAGTACAACTTTTTGCTTAGTCAGTACAATTTGAATTGTATGTTGATACTGTTAGAGTTCTGATCATGGCTTTCGATTGTATATGTTGTAATTAGTATAGTCAAGTCAATACACATCGTCAATAAGTTCAAAGCTTTGAATGATAATAATTTGATTGGTTTTTCTGTTGAAATCCTACTTAAATCAAATTAGGAATTGAGTTTAACTACTTATAGTTCTTGTACTTGAATCAGAAATTTAAGGGTCTTGGTCTGTAACTGTAGTCTGAATTGGGGGGCATGTGCACTTGTGCACAACATGTTCATAAAGGACTTTGTTAAGATTAAAATAGTTTGACAGCATATGCTGTCAGATTATGTTCTTGCTGCCCATGTCTGCTTTTAGTTTAATAAGCTAATTAAAAGGGCTGTCAGGAATCTCATGGGAGGTTTTCATATTTTAATGTTGAGTGGAAAAACAGCAAGAAAGGAAGGGGTTTCTGATATGTTTAACAAACTAAAAGGGGCTGAAGTTAGGCTATAAAAGGAGAGAACTCAGACTGAAAGAGGGGGAGAGACTGAATTTTAAAAAAGAAAAAGCACAGACAGATTTGGAGACTGAAAATTGATACTGGATTTTGAAAGGAGAGGAAAACATCGTTGAGGAAAGGCAGAGAGGCGTATACAGACACATAAACAAGAGAGAAAAACATACAAAAATCAGAAACTGTTTCTTCCTACTGTTATTTGGTTTTCATTTGTTCAACCTGTTCAATCAATTCTGATTTCTTCCAAGTCTCAACTAAGTTATTGGTTGGTTTGCATTGGTTGTTCTCCTGGATTTGGTCTGTCTTGGAGCCTTGTTTCTACTGCACTGTTTGCTGCTTTTATTTTATTACTGCTTGTTCCATCGGCTATAGTTGCATCTTGCACTGGGATTTGTTCTATTGTTATCTGCTGTTACTGCTGTTGTTTCTGTCGCCATTGTTACTCCACTGATTTCTCCTCTTCTTCTGTTATATTCAACATCCAGGTACACATTTCCTACTGATGTAACCATGAAAGGCATGAATTGAAATATCTGAAGAATTTTTAATAGTCTGTTGCTTTGTTTACAGCTTTGCAAATATTGTCAAAGTTGTATAAATTCTTTAATCTGTAGCCTAATAGAAAAACATTAGTAAGTTTGTACTCAATTGAAACTATTCTGGTCTAAAATTGCGATATGGTTGGTTTAGCAGTACACATGATATAGCCGTATAATTTATGAAATGCGCTATCATTTAGTATAATTATTAATTCATTTTTTTAGCATTTTTTATGTAAGGTGGACGTTTCTCTTTAATTTCGCAAAAAATACAATACCATTCTAGATTCTCGAGTTTCAACTTCATTAGGCAGTTCATAGGACGAGTTCCAAATATCATTAGTAGCATCCTTTAATAAGTGGTCTTGATTAATCCTGTTTTAAATGAGTTAAATTTAATTCAAGGAGCGTTTGTAGTAGTTGTAGCGTTTCATCAATCTTGTATGTAATNTTAATATCCTTCATTTTTGTAAATAATCAATCAGATTATTAATAAGAGGCCAGGATTAGTTAAGCATGTCATTTAATCAACATACATTTTTCTTTCTTTTATTAGAGACGAACATAATAGAAATGTAGTCACTTTAGGACGTCCTTTTTTTTTTTAAAAAAGTAATGAGACGAGTCTCGTCAAACAAAGATACACATTGCGGGACCCTCAATAATTGATCATAATAAACACATAGGTTTGGGATGGACCGTCTAGAAAAGTTCACTCCTTCCCCAAAGATAATAACGCGTTAGGCTCTTTAGGCGCGACTTAATTAAATTACATTCTTAAATTCGGGTGCACATTGATGTGACCCAAATCCAAATCTCAACGGAGTCAAGATGTGTTAACAACTACGGGTGCATTGATTGCGACGTGGTTCAAGATGCATTTTCACGACATTGCAATTCGATAAAAAATGGTAATAATGAAAGCGGTTTAAACTTAATAAAAGCACATAAGTCACAACATGTATTTAAATCAGATATTTAGCCATTATAACAATTTAAGCGACCATGCTAGAACCACNTAGACCCAGAACCACTGGTTTAGGGTTAAGAATTCGAGCTTAGAATAATTGTTATTATTTGGCTTTANAGTTCCTCGGAGAAAACTTGCATAGAAGAATTTTACATGAGAACCAAAAAGATCAGTCTGCCTAAAGGAGTTATGGCATGGACCTCATTCCTTCAAGCTCTTACTGCCAGTCAAATACGGTGGACACTGGGATGGTTGCCTGTTGACAAAGTCATATATATGCCAGCAACTAGAACTCATTTCTTACTAATGGGGCTTAAGAGCATTCAACCTTACGCGCCCTGCCGAGTTTTGAGACAGCTCGGAAGATGCCAGNACCAGACAGTACCGCATGAGGAAGATCTTAGCGCTCAAAAATTGAGATAAGTCCTGACGGACAGTTTCCAGAAGCGAAAATTCGCCAAATCTGGAGTGAGTGTCAATATTTGAAATCAGATACTTGCGTGCGGGATCGAGCCAAAGGTGAGACGGCGCCAGGTTACCTTGCATGGTATAGAAGGGAACTTGAGCATGAAAGGCCGGCTAAGAGACCCCACATCCTGAATTTTGCCG